TAATATTTTTCAGTATTACAGGCTGATAAATATGAGATACCCTCATGTTGTCTACACATGGGATAATAACAAATCTCAAGTGCACTCTAGAGAAAAACTTGATAAACACAGTAAAGTGATAAGGGTTACATTAAGTTACTACTTTACTCTTCCAATTTACTTTACTAAATCCAAATAGTATTGAGATTTGTAATCCACACATGGAGTTATTACTTTTCTTATTTGATTTATGCGTTTCTAGAATTTGGTATATAAAATACGGGGTCACCTTTCCCCTCAACTGAGATTTGACAGTCAGACACTCCAGCACTAAAATGGCTGTCTCCTAAACAAAGTGTTGCTTTTCCTGCTTTGGGCATGGTAGAGAGAAAGAAGTGTAGGAAATTCAGTGGTGGAACCAGACATTTCCTCCACAGCACAGAGACTCCACCTTTCCCCATGAATAGCTTGGTGGATGAATGTTCACTCTCATGCTCCTTAGGACAGTGTCCAGAGCAGAACTGCAGATACAGTTCTTAGGTCTGTTTGGGCCTAAGCCTTCTGCAAATCGTTAATAGAAATAAAGAACTCATCTGTTCCCTGAACACTGAAGGTCTGTGAATAACTTTGCTACAATGTACAATACTGTATTTAATATAATATAATATATACATACTTTTTGCACCTGCAGCATAACTGATTTTGTCTTCCCATCTCATAAGAGATCTTCTTCTTGGTCATTCAGCCCAGCATTGACTTGGTCCAACAGTGATCTGTTTTTCTTGCTGTGTGTTCAGCCCCGTGCAATTTTAGTTACTTCACTCTTCCAGAAATGTTACTGTTTGGTCATTAAGCTCTATCATTCTGCAGTCTGTTAACTGTCTCCTGAAGAAAGACCTTTTTTGTCTCTTCTTGTCATACCAAGTGTATGTTTTACACTGTTTCTTTGCCACACCTGCAGTTAGGGTATCCTTTTTTGTATTCAGGGTTAGCTGTATGCTAGTATTAATATGATATTAATATTAATTGATCCAAGAACACAACTTGTTTACCTCTTCAGTTTGCTGTGGAAGAACATATTCCTATAATTTAGATTTTTTTGGTTAAGTTGGTTTTAAGATCTGCTTTGGTGCTATCTTTGTGAAGTTCTTGGACTTGTGATTGATATATTACTGGATTTGTTGCAAATAAGTTTTATCAGTAATTCAAAAGAGACTTATATCTATATATTTTAGAATCCTTACATCTCTTTGTAATCCTTTGTCATAAAAAATGTTTTCCAATGTGACTAGAAAGAGCTTTGGAGATACCGTATGCACTTAATAAGCACATTTCGTACTCAACTTCTTGCTTTCTTTATTAGGATTTTGTTCTCAGTTACCTCTTTTCTTTGCAATGTAATTTGCTGTGGCTCTGGTGTTTTATGACACTGTCGCACATTTAATTAATGTCTGGTCTTTTAGCTCCTAGGTCTCAAAGTGCACCAGATTGTTGCAAAGATGCTTGCTTTCTCAAGTAATATGTTTTGAATTTCAGAATATTTCTTCAGAATGTTTTCTCAGTCATAACATTCAAATGGATAAAGTTAGTGGTCACTCTCTGTGTTGAAGATGTTACGTAATGATACGGAATTGTGTATTTGTAGTTGTTGGTATATAGTCAGTGTCACTGTTCATTCCATTGGAGCCTATCCATGTCTGTTACCTTTTAGGCTTCTGGAAGGAAAAGGAATGCATGCAACCACGTGGTTTCAAACTTCTTATTCTGGTGATGGTTACGGTAGAAGACATTCTTGCCAGTTTTTTTCACTCTCTGACTTCAAAAATATTGCTGAAACCCTGTAATTATTAAGATTATTCCACTGATTGGAATGTCCTTGATGGTGACTTTTACATCTCCTTAAGGTAGTATGTAAAACAGCTTTATAATTCTTTACAGAGTGCAGATAGAGACTCCCATTAAAACACATATCGAAACCCATATACATTATGCTGTATCAATGATCATGTCTCTGAGATATAACTTATCCTAAAGGCCAAAAGCAAATTTTTGTTAGAATTTGTTATAGAGTGCAGATAGTGTCTTGGTTACCATTGAATACATTGGATGATATGAAATAATAAATGTCCCCTATCAGTGCATTATCATTGCATGTGACCTTTTTTGAACATCAAACACAAACCTAATAGTTACTATGGAACACACATAGGAATCTGTATACACTCTGTCAAAAAAGGTGTGATCTCTGACTCCAGTATTTTTTGTTATTCTGCCAGATGTTCAGATGACCATAAAATCAAATTTTGTGTGAAAAACCATTTAATTGTAAAGGATACTTTTGGGAAGTTGTGCCACATGTACAGTAAAGGTCATAGGTCACAAGGTTGGACAGCCATAGTGGAACACCTCTAAAATATTGTTATATTGATTGATGTGAAACAAACATGACCCTGAAAAAGCATGGCTACAACAAACTAATCTGATATCAGCTAAGATCAATTTGCATTTATTATAGTATTTACCTTTTGACTGAAGGCTGTACACTCATAAATCTTCACAGTTTGGCAGAGGTCAACATGGTGTAAGTTGTCTTAGCCCCTAGTCATGGGTGCTGTCAGCTATATTTATTTTTGGACTACATACAGTATGTGAATGATCTATTGTTTATATTTGTTTTAAGTTAGTCTTAAGTTTTGCCACCCTGTCTGAAACATACTATATCTACAATGTTATTTTTCAGTGTCTCGTAACAGATAAACCTGTCGACTGCTGGTCATTCACAGCATTTTGTTCAGCAATTGAACAGTTTCAGTTCTGCTTTGAGCCTTATATCATTTAGTCCCACAATAGCCCACTTAAATATCCTGGTTATTTAGTCTTCTACTATTTTTCTGTATGTAGCTTGGGACAGTGTCCTGTTGTTATCTAGAGCTTTATACCTGTAAATTTACTGTAGCTCTCTGTATCCTTGTGTACAGTTACATCCATCAGTTGTCTTGGTCAGGAGAGATCCATCCTTCCGTGGATGAAGTCAGATTTTTTTTTGTTATTGCATCTCGGGTGATTTGAACACAGAGGTGTTGTTTGTAGGTCTAGCTGACCCTCTTCCACTTTAGCCAGGAAGAGGAAGAGAGCCTTTATATTAATAATATTAATTCCTAATT